ACTAAACAAGAACATTCTGACGCTTGTGAACAACAACACGATGCACATTTCCAATTCTATGAAGGTAGCGGTACGCTCTCCGACCACCCGTATATATTGTAGTACCCGGCTGCACATACTCCCGTATAATTGGTATTATCGTTGTATCCTGTCGGTTTCTAACCCGCTAGAAGTGTCCCTTTTGAGATGACCTATCGCATATTCCAAGGACCTGTGGGGTATATTTATGGGAGTGCTCCTTACCCAGTCTTCTTTAACACTATTTCCTCTGTTCAGTTTTCCTTTTCTGACAACTGTTTCGTTTATTTCAACGATTCTCACGACTCCCTCAGACAACTCATGTAAGCTTGTCATTTTCACTGCGTATATAACTCTACAATACTCATACCACTGAACAGCCGAAGCTTCAGTAACATCTGAAAATGTTGCAGCCAGTGTTACTGGTGCTTTTATTATCTACTTTGTAACAATTATCATAATTTACCTTAGCCTCAATCTGGATCGAGCGAAAAAGTTCGTCTTCTGGCAGACTTATTCCTCCAACATATATTACATCGAAAGACAACATCATCACGGCAGTCTGCACAAGATCTACAATCACAAATAAAGGAACTTCTTAGTAGTCCCATTTGTTGTAGACTCTCAATTATAATATCTTCTCTAAAATCCGCCGTGAACCGATCGTACGTGAGCATCAGGTACTGGAATTGGCGCCGTGACTTTGAAATCCCTCAAACGCTTCTGATTGACTCGTCCATAAATTATAGTCTCGACCGTTTGAGGTTACTTAGAAATGACCACTTACACCAGATCTAGCCTAAAACGTTCGAGTTTCATGATGAAAACCTTACTAAGGTGGAATCCACTAGATCATATATCATCATTAATGAATGTCTCAGTCCTGACATAATCGATTCTATAAATCATAGTTTACCACTAAAAAATTTATCAATAAATTGGTCACTTGTGTAGAAAAACTTCGCCCCAAAACACTTAATTATCAAGTTTACGAAGGTGGATCGTAGCTATCATCAGATTAATTCCACTTGAAGTCCTTCAAGAGCTACTGTCGGCTCAAAAGCCTGGTTGGAAGATACTTGAGTGTAGGGTTCACAGTGCAAACTAGAAAGAAAAAATCCATTAAACTCCGTACTTGTAGCTAAAGAGTCTCCACATGGCGATAAATAAATCCAAACTGAATTTAAGAAAGCATTGAATATTTAGACAAGTACAACCGAAAATGCCTAAATCAGCGTTTATTCAAGACGCTAGCAAGATCCAAGAGTTGAAAATAGACATCAGCAATTTGTTGCGAGCCTTATGTTGAAACGTGTGTGAGTATAGATTTTGATAGGCTGAATCTCGTCCAATTAGAGGGTTCAAAATTTTCTCTACCCCGTCGCCAATTGTTGTAACGTGTGGACTGCAGGTTAGATGCGCAGCGTTTTATTGATCAATTCAGTGACACGTAAACACGTAATGAACGACCTAGAGTCCCGATTGGCCCTGCTCCGCTGTCTATCCCAGCCAGTTGAGTTCAGAACGCAAGTCACATCCTCTGAGATATGAATCATTATATTTCAGACATACTCTATTTACATACCAATCAACCAGACCACATCGTACCATAAAATAGAAAACAATATTTAACAAGTGAAATAAATATCGACCAATAGGGAAACTTCTTCGACACTACGGCGTGCCTCAGAAGATAGTCAATATCATACAGAACTCATATGATGGATTACACTGCAAAATCGTGCATGGAGGACAGTTGACAAAGTCGTTCAAAGTGAAGACCGGTGTTAGGCAAGGTTGCCTACTCTCACCCTTTCTCTTTCTCCTGGTCGACTGGATCATGAAGACGTCAACGTCTGAAGGAAAGAGCGGGATACAATGGACATCTAAGATGCAGTTGGATGATCTAGACTTCGCAGACGATCTGGCCCTTCTATCCCAAACGCAACAACAGATGCAGGAGAAGACAAACAGTGTGGCAGCAGCCTCAGCAGCAATAGGTCTCAATATACACAAAGGGAAAAGCAGGATTCTCCGATACAACACAGAATGCACCAATCCAATCACAATTGACGGAGAAGATTTGGAAGATGTAAAAACCTTTACATATCTGGGCGGCATCGTTGATGAACATGGTAGATCTGATGCAGATGTGAAGGCGCGGATCGGCAAAGCAAGAGCAGCATATTTACAACTGAGGAACATCTGGAACTCAAAACAACTGTCAACCAACACCAAGGTCAGGATTTTCAATACAAATGTCAAGACAGTTCTACTGTATGGGGCAGAAACCTGGAGAACTACAAAAGCAATCATCCAGAAAATACAGGTGTTTATTAACAATTGTCTACGCAAAATACTTCAGATCCATTGGCCGGACACTAATAGCAACAACGTACTGTGGGAGAGAACAAACCAGATCCCAGCGGAGGAAGAAGCGCTGGAAGTGGATAGGACACACATTGAGGAAAGCACCCAACTGCGTCACAAGACAAGCCCTCACATGGAATCCTGAAGGCCAAAAGAGGAGAGGAAGACCAAAGAACACATTACGCCGAGAAATGGAGATAGACATGAGAAAAATGAACAAGAATTGGATGGAACTAGAAAAGAAGGCCCAGGACAGAGTGGGTTGGAGAATGCTGGTCAGCGGCCTATGCTCCATTGGGAGAAACAGGCGTAAGTAAGTAAGTAAGTAATAGGGAGTGTACATTAAAGGTCCAAAGCCACCATCAGACTTAACATGATAATTATTGGTATATTTTTCTGAACATCGTAACACCTTACAAGATTATATTCATCGAGGAAAGCGTTATGGAGAACAACAAGAAATTAAAAACAGTAGATTCAACATCCCAGATCTCAATTAGGACCAGGATAAACAACGGATCTCTGCACACATTTTGGAGAAGATTAAGGAAATGTAGGTCAAGAAGGCAACAATCGAACATGACTGGAGAAAGCCAAGGCACAGAAGCGAACATGCGAGTGAAGAAAAACACCAAGTTGAAATATGTAAAAGACCTAGCGACTACAATAAAACAAGCTGGAAGGAAGGGACATGTCAAGCAACCATATGATGCAATCAAGAAGCTAGTGAGGAGATGTAGTAGACCAGATCATCCAGTCAAGAACAAACAAGAAAAATCAGTCACTGAGGTTAGAGAGATGCAGATCAAACTAGTAGAGCACTTTGAAGAGTTCCTGAATAGACCAGTCCCGTTCAACCCATAACACAAAGGCCTCCCTACAAATGTTACTGTGCCAGAAATAAAAAACATCAATGCCATCAGACAAATCAAGAATGCCAAAGTAGAGGGACCAGAAAGCATAGCGGTAGAAGCACTGAAGTCAGGTATAGAGGCAACTGCAACATATTCTCTTCAGGAAGCTCTGAACGGGAGGACAAGTTCAAGAGGGATACCCTATCAAAACATTGAAGAAAGGAGATCTTAGTAAGTGACATCATACTACTGTCAGTTCCAGGCAAAGTTATCAACAGAGTGTTACTGGACCAAACGAAAGTTTCAGTAGACACCATACTCTCAAATCAACGAATCGGATTTCGTGAGGATATATCATGTACCGACCAAATTGCGGCACAGGACATCGTTGCTGAGCAATCAGCCAAATGAAATTTATCGCCATACAACAACTACCATAATTGTGAAATAGCATGCGACAGTTCAAACTGGAAAGACTTGTGGAATCTTACTTGAAACTATAGAGTGCCCGAGAACATCATCACCATCATACGGAGCTCCTATGACGGACTATTACAAAGTCATGTATGGAGGCACCTCACAGATGAATTTTAAGTGAAGACTGGTGTCAGACAACACTTCCCACTCCCGCCTCTCCTCTTTCTTCAGGTTTTTGATTAGATTATGAAGACTTCCATAGCTTAAGAGAAGCACGCAATACAGTAGACACCTTAAGTGTTGCTGGATGATATGGATAACGTAGTCGTCCTTAAGTTTGAAAAGAGGCAAATCAAAGGAAACATGAAGGTGGAATTTGGAGGCAGATAAAAGACCGTAAATACTTCTCGACAACAACATGGGAGGAGAGTCTAGAATAGAGTTGCTTGGAGGTTCCTGGTTAGTTACTTATGTCCCGAGAGGGGTAGAAGGCATAAGTAAGTAATCGTCGGTTTGTTTACCCATTAAAATCCCATCAACAGCTTCAGTATAAAATTATTCCATTCACATTGAAATTAACGTACATTAAATACAATCTTAAAGAAGTATTCCTATAATTGCCAAGGTATTATTAATCATTGATCTACATCACTATGACGATTAGCAGTTTATTTGTTTGAATAAATCAATCACGATAAATGAAGAGAAACAACGATAAAAAACAACCCTTTACAGGTACGGTAGAAATTTATTTTTTTACAGTAAAGTCCTCGTTAAGACCAACAGTAACAACTATGATAACCGATAAAATGCCAGAAAATTAATTTTAACCAACCAACTAACTTATTATTCTACAATGTAAAAAAAAACACTGAAATCCTGAAAATTCAGAATTGGAACGGAAAGTTATGACAAACTGGATGAACACTTCTCTTTTAAAAAATACAGTTTTCTTTTACAAAAAAAGGAATAATGGAAGGAAGTAAACTACAGTATATTTTTCTCGTATCACATGCAAATAAACAAAATATACACAGATACGAAAAAAACATGAGCTGCTTCTTTGTGTTTAACATTAAATAATGAATGGATTGTCAAAAAGGTGTAGAGATTGTAGAACATTGATTGATTAAAAGAGTAACAGCAATTATAATAATAGTAATAATGAGTACAGGTTGACATTCAGAAATGAAATAAGATAGATTGGTGAAGAAAAATAGCCAGACGGAAATGATACAACTGTCAGCTATGACAGTAGCTACCGGAGAGAAGATAAAAATTATTAGTAATAGACTAGGCACTATATATATATATATATATATATATATATATATATATGAACTTGCATTTCAACGACATTAGTGGAAGATAAAGTACACAAATATGTACACGTCCAGACACATACAGGAAGAGAAATGTAAATTTTACAATCATTAAAATCATCAATGATTTAAAAGGGATAGAATGGCAAGATAAACAGGAAGTATGGGTGAACAGGATGATAGTTTTAAAAGCGAACTACTGTTTCGAAAACGAAGTAGAACGTAAAAGCAGGAAATGTGAAAGACCAAACAAAAATATACAGATATGGTTCTATTATAATAATGATTATATAAAACTGATACATGTTATGTATGATTATATAAAAACGAAAGAATATGGAATGTCACACACGGGAATAACACTAGTGTGTATGATTGCATAAACTTTATTGTATAGAACGTTATATTAACATAGAATAATAATGTATGACGATGACAATAATTGTTTTAGTAACAGTAATAATTTATCGTGTTATATATGAGATAATTGAATACGGAAAAGTAGAACAAGACAGTATATTTACACAAAATCATCCATTTCATTTAAAATGAACTCCATAGCTGTACAACGAAATTCTGCAGTTTGCCAACATTCTAATAGTTTTTTACATTCGGCATTAATCACATATTCAATACGTTCACGATGTTGCATTTTCATCATACATTTAGTGATTTCCAATGACTAAAATTTGATAAGGAGAGAAAATCGACCACTTCAATTTTTACATAAAGAAATCACTATTAAATTAATTATATGTGAAAATTATATTTGAAATAGTCTCAGCGATTGAAATTTAACTAATTCCAACGTTTCGTCCAGCTAACTTGTCTGGACGTCTTCAGGGTAATAATCAAAATCAAAATTATCAAAGAAATATATAGCTTTTAACAATCAGGATTATACTGTGTTAAACCAATCATATTTGGGTGTTGATTTTCACATATAATGACTTCTCTATACTCGGCGCTCAATTACTGTCAAACTATTCGTTCTAATCTTGACGAATATTCGTATAAACTATTAAATTAAGTTTATAATAAGATTAAGGTGAACACAAAACATTTTTAACAGTTCTTAGCAAAACAAAACTAGATGCTTAACCTCAATGGTGAATGAGTCATCGATAAAGCTCATTTCCTCCAATTGTTTAAATTTCATATGATATCTGATCATATTTACTTTCCGTCTCATATTTCTCACATAAATTTATTCTTTTTTTACTGTAGCTTCTTCTGTTGTTTATTGAAATTATTTTACCGGAGAGCTTCGAAAACGGAAATCTAATTTCGTGAGCAATAATTAGTCCACTACATTATCCTAGTGTTTCATGAAGTTCTTTTAACAATCCAAATTATATCTCATAAAACCTTGTTTGGGAAATTTCACAAAAAATGTTTCACTGATAGGATACACAATCATGTGAAAGTGTAGTACGATGATTTCAACTAATTATCACTAAACTTCTAGAAATTACTAGACCATGTATTCATCCATTTTTCGTTCACAGCGCAAAAAACCACAAGTGAACCGACACAAAACATTTGATAGTCTCTTCAGAAAATGAGAGAAAAAAAACAATAAATATTAGAATTAAAACACTAAAAGATCGTAGCTACGAGCATTGTCCTTTCACCGTTGAAATATACAAATCGGAAAAATTGTAAGACCAAAGATCAAACAAAAATACAATCAAACTTAATTACCTTAATATATATATATATATATTACTATTTATTAAAAGCAAAAAAAACTATCCTTTGTTTTGCCAAGCCATGCTATAAACTGCTTTTTCTAGATATGTTTTATCACGCCTAAACATAAACAACAGGCGTTAGGGGTATAGAAGCCGCTAACGTGTTTCGAGGTGATATGTTGTTACTGAAAATCGGCTTTTGAATGCTGCTTCACTTGCATGTTTTCAAAATCAATCAATGGTTAGATCATGAAATCGCAAGGAGATAAATTCAGCACTTTTATAGGGTCATGTACTAACAGCCTATGGATGTCTAGATCTTTTGGTTGACTGGTACCTCTAATTAAACTTAACATAGCTTGATAATTGGTTGCAACAGTAGATGCAGATAATTTATTCACGCTATTTCTGTTAAGATAATGAATATCGACCATTAAAAAGTAAGAAAACATGTGCACATATCAAAGTGCAATCACAACTTACGCGTATACTTTATTTGGAGAACCTGAACAAATACTAGATATCAGTGATTGACTGTAATATGAAGTACACGAGCACAGATTTGAATTCCAAGTGGACTTCATAAACCACACCAGTGATAACTGACCTGTAAGTTAATGCTAGTCAAAAATAGATTGCGATCTGCATTGCAACATGGTCGATAGCATTCGATCTACACTAATAAGGACTTGACAAGCATGACATTGATCACTACCCAGTGATCAATCAATTGTGATTACATCTCAGTCCTACAGGAGGTTAGTTACGGCTCGGATAGCTCAGTGGTAACGTCTCTGACTGTAAAGCTGGGTGACACGAGATCGAATCCGCCAAGAAGCAGCAGTTCCCTCAAGATTACAGGTACACCTTGCTGACGAGTGCCAAGTAGCACGAAACCCGGGTCCAGGGTTTCCTGTCGACTACCTCTAACCACCATCTAACTCCGAATGGAAGCCTATTTTAAACGTGCGTATCTGTATGTCAAGAACAGAAATTATGAACAGACAATCTTAACTAAACCTTATTGTTGTGTAATTTGTATCAAGGTACAAAGGATCAAGGTAAGAGGTTTGAATGTCAAGAGTGATCTCACAATACATAGATTACGTTGTATTGAGAGACGGCTTTCTTCAAATAATTATTTGGTATATCAAGGCTATTTAAACAGGTCAGAACAACAAATAGAAATACGTGTATAAATAAGACAGGAATCAGAAGTGAATGTAAAAGAACTGTGAGGTACGTTGAAATAAGACGGATATGAAAGTTTTTTGCAAATATAACAATTAGTTTGCTTGTTTCCCAAAGAGATTATTCATATTTTTTATTTTGGAGTAGACGTAAAGGTCGTGAAATAGATATCTGTCCCGAAATTCAAGAGTTTCTGGAGGATTACTACTTTCAAGACTTTAGAGACAACAAATCTAAAACTGAGAAAATAAACGGCCTAGAACGAACATAACGATTAGCATGTTGTAATGGCTGAAAATTAGGAGTTAAACGAAATAAGATGCATTACTGGCAACACTGTAAGTCATTACGATAAAAGCAAAATCAGAATGGAGATTTGTGGTGATCGTAGTAATTTTAATGAATAGTTTTGGTTAACATTAACTAACTAATTACGAACGGATAGTATTAAAAGTGGGAACTCTACATTGCTTGATAATTCCACAACATTCTACGCATACTCATTTGCTTTCCAGATTATCCATTGTCGCTTTTTTAAGGAAAGTTAAAAACATATTAAAGCAGTATGAGATGTAACACGTCACTAACCATGGTCCAATCAAAAGAACTATCGAGACATTAGACTGAGAGTAATGTTTTCGTAAAAAAGACATTTAAACGAGAACCATTAAACTTCATAGTTAAGAAGTACTGTGCGTTTATAGCTTGATATTCTAGTCAGTAATCGTCTTCTCAAAATTTTCTCTTATTATATATACGAGAAACCAGTAAGTCTCTGCTATATATCTATTTACCATCGGAAAACACAATAACGTGTTTACGAAATCTCATGAGATGAAATATGAGAACAAACGATAAACATTCAAATAAAGACTATATCAGGTTGCTGAAGTGATATGTAAAAAAATGGGAAAATAAATTCATAACATCATTTTTAAGGTAGTAAATATTTAAACACCTAGAAATCAAAAAATAGATAAATGAAAAAATAATAACAAGTACAAAGATACCTACCATACACGAATTTTCGGCTAATTTTCGACAACGGAGAAGTAGTTCTTGTTTAAAACTTTTGGGGAACAAAAGATCAGAAGCTAAACCTCGTTGTAAAGCTTCACGTGCGGACAATTTACGACCTGCTAATAATAGTTCGTTTGCCTGTACAATAATTTTTATGAAGAGAAATACTCGATATGAATAAACTAATGTTTTTTAATAAAAACAACTTCGGAAATCGAACCGGAAAAAATAAAATCAATTACCACGGAATTAAAGCAAAATAAATGTTGAAAATGTTATTATTTCGTAGACTGTCTGAATTTTAATTCTATTATGGATTGATGATTAAAACATTTAACTTCTAATAAGTGAGTTATAGATTAAGACCTGTGTTATATCCGGTGAAGATTAAATTACAGGTAACTTCCAAGGACTATTCATGGACTAATATTCTATAAATATTCTTATTGTATAACTACTCAACAATTACACTATGTATATTTATATTCCTTTTATGATAAGCTTTATTTTGACCTATAATTTATTATTGTACGATTTACGGTTCTTAAGTTATGTTCAGTTTATTAACTACTGCCTCCCACATTCACAGCCACTTTTTGGACTTATTTGTGTACAAATATTATTTCCTATTTTATGGTACGTTGCGGTCTGTGTGATTGATATATAGACCAAGTATGCCTGAAATAAACGATTCGATTCATATTCGGAAGCTGGTATTGTGTTCTGGACTCAAGTGGAAGGGCTCGGAGGACATAGGACCAATAAGGATGCTAAACTGCCCACAACGGTTGAACGTCATTGGTTGGCCTAGTGTGAAGATTCGTATAAGTCGTATTCGGATTGGTAGATAAGTCGCGTGATAGAAAAGTCAGACATCCAAGGTCATAACAACCTGCTTCGCTTACTTCATCGTAGGGAGTCGATCGACAACCATAACAACAGAAACAAGACTCAAACATTGGTACAATGAGTTAGTTTATAAAATTTATTTTGTTCTGAACAAACGAATATCAAACATTGAGATTCATTTTGGTTCAAAAATTCGTCATATAACAGTTCATATGAAGATCAATGAATATATATATATATATATATGGACTTGGCGAATTGCATTAACAGTTCGTTCTTTTATCACTAACTAAAACAGAACATTTCTTACAGACTCTCAGTTCTGATAGACAATGATTTTGTCGCTGCCTGATGGAAATATTAACAACATACTGTAAACTCGCGATTATTTCGTCAGTTTTTTTCCATTGCATTTCAATAAGTTATTTTATATATCTTATATTAAGGTAACGAATAATAAGATCAAAATTTGATACATATGAAAGATAAATATTTTATACAACTTACCAAAGGCATACCAACAAGACTGTTTAAGGTGTAAGTTGATGCTCCTTCAGGGATTTGACCAAGTCGAGTATATGGCATATAAAATGTAGCTGAGTCACTTATGTAAACAATGTCACACAAAGGTAATATAGCAACAGCAAGTCCTAATGCTGGACCATTTACACCAACTACAACAGGTTTAGGAAATGAAACTAATGCCAATAAAAATGACCTTAAAGCTGCCGCTAGACGTCCGACATTTGAAGCATTTGGTGAGCAGAAAAATGAATGAACTCTATTTGCATTTCTGTGAGATGATGAATTTAAATTTGAGTCATAGTTAGTTTGAGAAAATGAACAATTTGTATTATCAGAATGATGTGATTTTGAATTATCAGCTCCAATTTTATGATGATTTGAATTACGTGAAGCGAATACATTGGCTGAACTTGAGGATGAACTGCGAGATGAATCACATGAAGATGGACCAATAAATGCACTTCTTAAAAGATCGCCCGTAATTGTTGTCAAGTCTATTCCGGAGCTAAACACAGTTCCTGTCCCAGAAATCATGATTAAACGACTTGTATCATGTGTTGCTCGGTTCAAAACAATGGTTAATTCTTCAAGGACCTTCACAATTGCAAATACATGAGAAAAGTACAGAATTTCCAGAATACAAATAAAATTAAATACTGAAGAGAAATTAACATTGATATTATCAATATGATGATGAAATTTAGGTCAAAAGATGAGTTTAAACCATCTTTTTTACGATATAGATCCAACGAGTTCCAACGAAATACTATAAAACACATGCTTGGTCTCTATCTTCGTAAAATAACTGAAACTTTCATTTATTGATCATTTGAGTGAGAATTAAGCAACTGTTTGTAACCTAATCGAACTGTCTTGCCTCGATTTTAATCAGAAAGAGATACAAGTGATAACTGATGTCTTAATGGTCAGTAGATTATTGATATAATAATTTAGCATGTAGTGACAGTGATTAATAGAACGATAAATATTTTGTTATACTAAACAATACATTACTCTTACCTTGACTGCAATCACGTCTTAAATTTTTTTTCTGAATAATGAGTTCGTTTTTATGCATCTTCTTATAACTGATACAAATTAGTAATTTATTAGTCAGAGACAATCATTTTTGGGTAATTAACGCTGAGTCTGTAGTATTTATTTATTGCCATTATGTTATAAACGACAGAATTCTCAACACAAATGACAAAAATGTAATATCACAGAGCTTTGTCCAGCTAGAAACTTCTTAAAAGGACGGTTGATAAGGAGAAAAACTCTCACTAAAAATGAAATGAACCTGAGTGACAATCTAGCTGGACGTGATATGAATACCATGAAATGTTACATAATGAATAATATTTTTCCGATTGACAAATCTGAATACAGCAAAGGGAACAAACGTAGCAGAATTGTATTAATCCATTTTATTTCATTGTTTCTCATCAGTTACTTACAACCTAAACACAAATGTTAATCTTAAAAATTTGTGTACATACTTTGCTTCACAGTATAAAAAATGTTCTTATTGATAGAGATTAATAAAGGAGCAATTGATATAGAAGAATTATAAAAGATTTTCAAACGGATGGATACTTATGTTAGTGTGAAAATTCTAGATTTCCTACTGAGATCACGAATTGACCTAAATTAGACAACCGTTGGAATCCTGGAGGCAATGAACGGTCGTTTCGTCGTAAAGTGAGATTCATCAGTAGTGTACATCCACCACTTTGCAACCGGGAATCTAACCCAAGACATCTGGTATCGTACGCAGATACTTAAACTTCAGACCACTGAACGGGATCGAATAATGTACATGTTCAAGATCTATCAATCTGCGATCTCTTATAAAGTACACGAAGATAGGTTAACAGAAGAGTTTACATAAAAAGATACGTAGTGACAACACAAAGGATTGATTATAATATTTTGGTTAATAAAACTCATAAAAATTAATGAAGTTTGAAAAAATCAAACTATAATTGTTAAAAAAGTCCTTACGAAACTAGACATTGAAAATGGGTCACCAGAACAAAATAAAGTTGACAAGAGTATGTTTTTGAATCCACAATTATGGTTTAAACCCTTCGATAGCAATGGTTAAGACAAAACGTAGTAAATTCAAAGTTCCTTGTTTACCAATAATTGTGAACGATTTTGAAACGTCAACGTCATATTCACTATCAAGTAATTGACGGGTGATTGAACCGTTAAAGACATACTAACCTATTCTAAACTTCTGAATAATGAACTAAGAAATGAGGACATCAACACTGCTTTTCGTTCTTCCAATGTATGTGCTTTGACACGTACATGTAAACCAGTATACATAACTACATGCCTTATTTATCCGTCAACCGATCAAATGTCGTGTTTACTGCGCAACAGTTCGTTCCGTCCTACTTTATGGCAGTGAAACATGGCCGGGGTAAGAGTAGAGGATATTCGTAGGTTACTAGTATTCGATCATAGATGCCTTTGAAACATTGCTCGTATATCCTGGGATCATCGAGTAAATAACTGTTGTTAGGAAACGGGTACGGAAAATCAATTGATGAAGTAGTGAAACTTCATCAGTTGAGATGGCTGGGACACGTGTTACGTATCCCCAATCACCGACTGCCTCGACGTGCGATGTTCTATTTGATGTTTGTGCTGATGACGTCGTTCAGAAGAACGATGAAAGCTCTACGACCAAACCATCCAGCTCAGAGAACAAAACTCCACCAAAAAAGATGTTCAATAGTGTAGGAGTAGGTTGGAAGAATGTTAGGGGCACAAATCCATGAATTCACTGACAAGTGGATTGAGATATGTTGGTAGGTGTAGACTACCTGGTTGGGATCCGCGAGATGATAGCAACCGATGGTTAGAGACCCTGAATGAAATGGCTCAAAATTGTCTGCAATGGAGCAGATTCATCCACTCTTTATGTTCTCTCAAATTCTAATCTTCTGAAACCTTCATGTCCCTTCTTTTTCTCTTTCCAAATTTATTTCACTGTCTTATACTTCTTGAGTAACATCTTCAAACCCTAATCTTTCCGATTACTGCTTATACTTTTACTACCTCCACCACTATGGGATTTGAATCGACAAATGCATCTCTGTGCTAATGTGGTATGGCAACATGAACTGATGTACCTACGTGCGAAGTTCTGCGTTGCTACTGACTGACTGACTGAAGTTTTTTTGATGCAGCTGTTACTCTAGAACTAATCTTGCTAGATATTTCGTCCCTTTTGAAGCCAAGTTGTACGAAGAAAGTTATTTTCTCCACTGTAGCACACTATTACTTTTGTTCTTATCTTCGCATTTTTACTGAAAAATATTTGTGGATTATCATTATTCTTAAGACTTCATTGAAAAAAAAGTAGATTTCTTTCCAATCTTTTCCTCAGAACACAATTTTCGTACTCGATTAAATAAAATTCTAACCTAAGGTGGTTTGTCAATTATCGGAAAGAAGCTATTTGAATTTAAATAAAGTCCCCTTTAGATATCCTTTCGACGAAACTACCATTTCCATTGTTGAATACTAAGGTCTAAAAATGAAACTTATAACTACGCTCATGCTCCATTGTAAAATGTATATTCGAGTGTGCATTATATTAAAAAGATTCAGCATACTGACAGGATATTTGCGACTACTGCAAGCAACAAATGTGTCATCAACACACATAACTGCTTCATTACGTATTGTTTTCACCTTCGTTTTAATTTGAATATATATATATATATATATATATATATATATATATATATATACTATCTACATCGGGTCTAACGGGCCCCACATACCGATATACAGTATTATTACATTAAAATTGTATATCCTCAATACACATTGGTAGAAGCTATTTGAGTGAGTTTGCAACCACTGAATTTAAAGCAATTAATTTCTTTGATAAATATCGATAATGTAATAATGATAAGATTATTAGAATTATGTGATATATTAGCGCAATACATTCCGAACAATCTGACCTCACATATGCTTCTTAAGAACATTTATATATAAAAATAAAAGGTCAACTAGAGTGAAAATGGGGGTAAGAGGACACAAGGATAGTAATAAGAGTAATAATAATGTGAACACAATTTGAAACGTAATCACTCTGGATAATAAGCCAAAATTATCAACATTTTCAGTCTAGTTGACCTTTTATTTTTATATGTATAAATGTTCCTAACAAGCATATGTGTGATCAGACTGTTTGGAATATATCAAATAGTTCTGATAATCTTCGTCTTCTTATAACTACTGCATTCTCTAGGTGGTGTTAATTACGGACACACACTTATGCAGGTCGGACAACAGATAGGGCTGGCTATGTCTTTGGAAAGTCTTAATATTGATATTTGTTGTCTATCCGAGACCCGTATTCAAGACTCTGGTGAAGTACTACAAATGAGCTCATCTGTCGCTTCGAAAAGCTTGTTTTACGTGCGCTTATCCGGGGACCCTGTGGCATCTTCGTCTGGTCTTGCTGGAGTTGGTGTCGCACTAGGCGCTAGAGCTGAGGCAGCACTAATCGTTTGGATCCCCATTAACAGTCGGTTATGTGCTGTTAGATTAGAAAGTCCCATCAAAGTGAGAAGAAATCGGCGTAAGAAACGATGTCTTTTCGTCATGCAATCAAGGACAAATTCTACCATCAATTAACCGTTCTTCTCCAGAAACTGCGTTCGACAGATATTGTAGTACTAGCCGGAGACTTGAATGCTCAGGCCGAGTAAAGCCGCTTGCGGCTTCGCGAAACGTCCCGCTAATAAACACTGAGTTTCTTCAGATTTCTTACAACTTATCGAAGCCCGTCGGTCTACTCCGGGTGACCGTGAGTTTGACCACAAACGAAGGACGGTACGTAAGGAAATTGGGCAAAGCTTGCGTAAGGACCGACAAGCCTGGTGGTCGGAGCGTGCTAATGAGTTGGAAGCAGCAGCTGCATCTGGTAACTACCGGAAGCTCTTCCAGCTCATCCGAGCCACTGGCAGCAAGAAGTTTGGTGTGAGCGAAACAATCTGTGAGGATGATGGGATGCCAATCACTAACATCCATCGACGTCTTGGACGATGGGCAGAATTTTTTGAAGGGCAGTTCAACTGGCCTGCTGCTCCGGCAACATCGGTCAGACTGTCCTGCCCTCCATGGCCGGTGACGACTGATCCACCAAACGAGGAAGAAGTCCGCAAGGAACTCCAACTCTTGAAGCGTTACAAATCACCTGGACCAGATGATTTACTTCCGGCTCTTTTTAAAGATGGTGGTGACTTTTTGACTAAGGAACTGACGACGTTGTTTACAAAGGTTTGGGAACTAGAGAGTGTACCAACGTCATGGAATGAGTCGATAGTTATTCCTATCTTTAAAAAGTGTTCACATCGTTCCTGTAACAACTATAGGGGGATAAGTCTACTTCTAATTGAGTCCGAGCTATCGGCTCCCGTCATACTTCGTAGGTTGTTCAAAACCCGAGAAAGATTGACTCGCGAGGAGCAGGCTGGGTTTCGTTCTGGTCGAGGGTGTATTGATCATATCTCCACCCTCCGCCAAATGTTAGAACATCGCCGTACTTATCAAAGGCCAAC